AACATAAAGACATCAGACAGATTGAGGGTGCCATTTACACATGTAGGTATATCTGTGTACACATCAAGCACAAAATACATGTTTTGTACAATATATGTATCCTTGTAGAGTGTAACCAGGCAGGGGTGAGTAATGCCTCCAAGTCACAGGCAGGTTCTCTTCAGTATTAGTAAAGCATGCTCTGCTCTGAGAAAACCTGATAGGCTTAAACCCAATTTTATAAAATATATGCAATAAGGAGCAATTATTCATGCTATCAAAAGATTCTTCACCTTATTAAAGGATTTACATTAAGGTCCCATCAAACTACAAGGACTCCACTGCATATAGAATGTCAAAGACTGCCTAAGACTTCTGAGGCAACTATATAAACCAACTACATAAAATCAAGGAGCCACATCTGAACTGAAATTTGTTTGATGGTTTGTGCTAAATAAAACAAGTCAAGGCTGCGGATGTGGCTCAAGTGGTAGTGCACTCACCTGGCATGCATGAGGTGCTGGGTTCGATCCTCAGCACCATGTAAAAATAAAATAAAGATGTTGTGTCCACTGAAAATTAAGAAATAAATATTTTTTAAAAAATTCTCTCTCTCTTAAAAAGAAAAAAAAACCAAGTCATTTGATTTGTATCACTATTACCAGTTTTCTGTATAGGAGCAAAATAATGGCACCATATCAATTAAAGCAGGTTATCTGATTCAGGGACAAAAAGGCACATCCTAATAAGGGTTTTGCTGTTTAATAGGGTCTTTACTATTACTGTAAAAAAAAAAAAACCAAGCTATCCTCCTTGATTCATATATGTTTTAAAGACTGAATAATAATAATTGCAGGTAATACTTATATAATACTGTTAATCAGGCACTGTTCTAAGTGAGTCATTTCATCCTCTTAATGACTTTCATGTGCAGTTACTATTATTATCTGGGCTTTATAAATGAGTAAATGGAACTTAAATAATGTCCAAGGTCAGGAGGCTTTAACTGCCAAGGTCAGGAGGCTTTAACTGGCAGAGCTAAGGTGAAGGCACGCAGTCTTGGTCCAGGGGTTATACTCACTTTTTTTTTTTCTTTTTTTAATTAAGGGGCTATACTCTTAAATCACCTTCCTAAGTGCCCCTTGATATGGCAAGCATGTACAGAAGGGAGAATTTCATATGGAAGAGGAGTAGAGATGAGGCCTACTTAGGTTATTGGTAACAAGTTCAAGCAAGTGGTGCTGAGGACCTACACAATGAAATGAAATAGGATAAAAAATAAAGAAAGGGGTTTGGGGATATAGTTCAGGGGTAGAGTGCTTGCCTAGCACATGCAAGGCCCTGGGTGCAATCCCCAGTGGAAGGAAGGAAGGAAGGAAGGAAGGAAAGAAAGGAAGGAAGGAGGGAAGGAAGGAAGGAAGGAAGGGAGGAAAGAAGGAAGGAAGAAAGAAAGGAGAAAGAAAGGAAAGGAAAGAAAAAAGAAAGAAAGAAAGAAAGAAAGAAAATTCCTTTCTATATAACTATAATGCATCAATTAAAAAATAAGTGACTTGGGAGGCTGAGGTAGGAAGTCACAAGTTCAAAGCCAGCCTCAGCAACTTAGTGAGGCACTAAGCAACTCAGCAAAACCCTATCTCTAAATGAAATATAAATAAGGAATGCAGATGTGGCTCAGTGGTTAAATCCCTGGGTTCAATTCCTGGTATAGATAGATAGATGGGTAAATAGATGGAAGACCACTAGAGTTGAGGAAGGGGATCAAGAGGAGGGATGAGAGGTGGCTGGCACTGGGGATTGAAGTTGGGAAAACTATGCTATATGCATTTATGAATATATCAGAATGAACTCTGCTATTATGCATAACTATAATACACTAAAAATATTTAAAAATTTAAAAAAGAGGATGATGCTGTTGGAAGTTAGGCTAGAGGAAGGGTAGTCACACAAAGGAGGTTTCTGAAGAATTCGTCTATTTCTTGATTTGGGTATTATTAAGTATGTGAAAAATCAAAGTGCACAGTTACATGTGTTCTGTTTATACACATATTTTCATGAATAAAAAGCTAAAAGATGCTGGGTATGGTGGTAATGCCTATACTCCCAGGGGCTTGGGAGGCTAAAACAGGAGGATCTCAAGTTCAAAGCCAGCCCTAGCAACTCAGCAAGACCCTGCCTCTAAATAAAATATAAAATAGGGCTAGAATGTGGCTCAGTAGTTAAATGCCCCTGGCCTGGGTTCAATCCCTGGTACCAAACAAAACAAAACAAAAAAAAAACTCTTATTGCATTTTGACCATTTTAATTGTTTTTGTAAATTGCCTATTAAAAGATGATATGGTACATGCCTGTAATTCCAGCTACCTGAGAGGCTGAGGTAGGAGGATTATTAGAAATCTGAGTCTAGCCAAAGCAACTTGCAAGACCATGTCCAAAATAAAATAAAATGATCTGGAAATGTAGCTCAGTGGTGGAATGCTTGCCTAACCTGTGTAAAGTGTTGGGTTCAATGCCCAATACCACACATACTCAAAAAAGCTAAAAGATGAAAAGATGGATTTTGGAACTATTATAAATGTTTTTTGTCTTCCTATATCCTCCGAATGTTCTAGAATGTCATTATATTAAGCATTAGCAGCATGTCACTAAGTAAGGCATCATGAAACACATAGGCCATGTGATTTAGTAGCAATTATTCATGTGAACAATTCTCAAATCTCTTATTGTGCGGCCTGAGATATGCAGTTAACCAGATGTCAGCTGAGACATTGGCAATATACCAGCATGGTAAAATAGATTCCACTAAAAGTACACTAACTGGATTCAAATTCTGCCATTGCCCCAGGGATTGAACCCAGAGGCGCTAAATCACTGAGGCACATCCCCATCCCTTTTTATTTTTGATTTTAAGACAGGGTTTCACCCGGTTGCTTATAGACACGCTAAATTGCTGGCTTTGAACTTTCGATCCTCCTGCTTCAGCCTCCCAAGCTACTGGGATTACAGGTGTGTGACATCACGCCCAGCTAAATGTGTGATCTTAAATGTGCTACTTAACTCTCTGCAACTATAAAACTGGTGTAACAGTACCTAACTCACAGAACTTGTCTGCATATTAAGGAAGCACTGATGGTCATGCTTGGCTGTGAAGTTGTACAGGATACTCTAGTAAACATTAGCTCTTTTCCTCATCAACATTTAGGTCCTTAGCCATGGATTCCCACCTTAAAGTCAGTTATCTTTTACTTTTCTTTATCATTTTGCTAGTATCTAAATAATTTACTATTATTCCCTGCCATGTTCCAAAATAATTTAAAGTAGGTTCATCTATTTTTCTAAATGGTACAATCAGATCACAGGAAATCTGAAAAACAGAAGTAATGTACTTTTAGGAGTGTAGTCAGCCTGCCCTGAAGGGGCCTAACATGATCTGCTGCAACCTACAGTGGTCACATTAGAATGCTTTAAGATGGATTATTGATGCAGAAGGGACTCAGAGTGCACACTAGTCAACACACAGTCACAACAAGAAACAGTCACAATTTTTGTTTGTTCAGTTTTTGTTTTTGGCAGTACTGGGGATTGAACTCAGGGCTTTGTACTTGCAAGGCAAATGCTCTACCACTGAACTACGACAACAGCCACAATTTTACCATGAAAATTTCCAATCCCATAGAAGTGTAAGTACAGTACAATGAATATTCAATTACTCTCCACCTAGTCTCACCAGCTGTTAACATTTTACCCCATTTGCTTTCTCTTCTCTTCCCACACACATCTTATTTATTTATTTTGATGAATCATTTGACAATTAAGTTGCACACAGCATGCCATTTTATCCATAAATCCGCCTGTATCTCCCAAGAAGAACATTATCCTATGTTACCATAATGACATAATCACATCCAAGTAAGTTCACAGAACTATAATACTATTTTCCAATATATTGATAGATAATAGTATTAATATACTATATAATATTGTTACTTCATATAGTCTACATTCATATTTTTCCAATTGTCCAAATGACTTTTTTTTTCCTAATTCAGGATCCAATCAAAGATCATAGTGCATTTAAACTGTCACATTTACAATCCACTCTCCTTGTGTTGAGGCTGCTTACCAAAACAAAGAAACAAAAGCTGAGGTCATAGCCAGGCGAGGTGGCACTCGCCTATAATCCCAGTGGCTCTGGAGACTGAGGCAGGAGGATCGCAAGTTCAAAGCCAGCCTCAGCAACTTACTGAGACACTAAGCAACTCAGCAAGACCCTGTCTCTAAATAAAATATAAAAAGGGGCTGGGGACAATGCTTAAGTGCCCCTGGGTTCAATTCGACCACCCTCCCAACCCAAAATAAAAAGAATGAAAGAAAAAGAAAAACACCTGAGGTCATAGGGGAAGCGCTCCAGAGCAATTCATTACCCATGCAGAAATTCATTACCCATACAGAAACATCAGATGATACGAAGCCTCCAGGACATTTCACTCCAACCTTTCACCCCAGCGGAGGATACAGGCAGTCTGAGCCAAGTAAGACTAAGACCCTCAGTACAAGGTACCCACTTCAGGGTGCATATCAGCAGTCTTCAGCCCTCCTCTGGAGGGCCTGTGAAATATCTGAATTAAAAAATATTTGACCATTTAGGCCTTCCCTGATTCTAGCTTCCCCTTCACCCTGTGAGGGAGAAAGCTCCTGGCCCTTCTCTTTCTCCCTCTGTCCCATTTCCTACTATTAACTGAGCCTGAGCCAAGATTAGCATGGTCCTTGTAGTTCCAGAAACAGAGACAGCTAGACCACTGGGAGCAGGGAGCAGGAACCAGGCTAATTATGGAAGACTGCAACAGGGGCAGGGTGATAAGGACAGTGGCAGGAGGGCTTAGGGATATAAGCCTCTCTGCTATGGCCCAGGTAGCTTTCTACCCAGGAAAGGACTCCACAGACATCAAAATATGCCTGTAAGTTCCCAAATCTGACCAGGCTCACGGCAGGACCAGCACCCCAACCATCCCCTGGACTCTTACCTGACTGGAACACGTATCGGGCCAAGCCCTGCATTAGCTCTGCTGGCCATGTTGGTGGGGCAGACTCCCCAGTTTCTCTCTTTAGGCGAAATGTTAACTCAAAGCCAAAACCACTAGGTCCATCTGTTCCAGTAAATCTGAAAAGAATAAAAAGCAAATGTTTTAAGTTCAACTACCTTAGGAAAAAACCTTGTTTGAAAGTCTAACCAAAGCTCCCTGCTTTGTTTGGTGGCCGCAGCATACAAACCTTTTATTCAGGGGAATTTTCCAGGGTATGAGCCCTGGGGGGAGAAGGACCTCGGGACCTCAAAAGACTTTAAGGAACCAGAATTCTTGCCTTACCCTCCTGCTAGCTGTGGACACATGTATAAGACCTGAGCCTAGCCAAACTTCCTTCCCTGCTGGCACTGTGAATTATGAGTTCCAGATTTTGTGACTCTAGAACAATCCTTTTTGTATGACTGAGGCACCATTACTGCAAAGCTTCCTCATCATGCTCCTTACTCCTTCAAGCTGCTAATGAGCACCCACACTTAGTTTGCTAAGGATATGTGTCCTGTGAAAGGCTGTGTGCTCTGTGAGGATAAGACCCTAGGTTCATTCTACCCCATAGGGTACATCCTTGACTGCACTGGCTGTAGATTGGTCCCCAAGTAGATTCCAAACACGGGGCGGCCCTCTTCTTCCTGAAACTTAGCACCCCTCGTGCCTGCATCAGTCAACACTGCTCCTCTGGAAACCACAAGCACTCTTGAATCTTTGGAACCTGAAACATTACAGTTTGCCTCCCTTCCCATCTCTAGGTGACCCTGAATGATGAGGAATACTGGTTCTGTAACCATGATTCCTTCCTGTGGCGATAAGACAAGGTCAGAATGCTGGCCTTACTGTCTGCTAGGAAATGCTCAGAAGTTCTGAGTCTCAGGGAAGTCCCTGAAATAGACTGGTGCCAGAGAGAGCAATGATGTGGGTCAGAGAGTAGAGCCTGGTTAGTTGATGCCATACCTCCTCAGGTGAGGGAGGCATACAGGCAGGAGTTCTTGAGAGCTCTGAGGCTTGCCAGCACAGGAAGGGTTAACAGTTATAATATGTACATGATATAATTTTCAGTAATTATATCTTGTACAAACTCGAGCTACAATGACTATACACATGTAAACTCCCCAGCATACAAATACAAACCATAAACTAAGATGACAGCCAATATCTTGCTAGCCAAGCTTCTGGAACAGGCGATCAAAGGGAATATTCTCAAGGGCTGATGATACAGTCAATGCCCAACCCTGGAATTCCTTGTAGCATTTTTTCTTCATCAACAACCCCAAGAGGCCAGGGAGAAAGACTGGAGAGAAACAAACAGAGTCCAATGTCTGAAGCTGATATTAGTCCTAGCCTTGGCTTTGGGTGCTTGGAGGAACTTGGCTCTCTAGCACCATGGGGAAAAGTCACCTCTGAGAAGCTAAATTCAATTTCTTTTGGATTGAAAATAAATTCGTAGATGGTTAAGCCCAACTATATTTTAAGGAAGTATCAATAGTCTGCATTTTCTCCAATTATTTAGCTATGTGGGAAGCAGACTCCCTTTGGAGAGTACACATGTAGAATTTTGGAGATTGGCTAGGAAAGATGCTTAAAAGTGACACTACTTAAGCTATTTCCTTGTTGAATCACCCTGTTGGGGTCAATTCAATGAAGAGGAGCTGAGGGAACAGCTAGGCAAACAGGTTGCAAAAGCTGCCTCCCTGGGACTGCAATTTTGAAGAGGTGAAAACACATAGGTAATTCAAGACTGACTCTGAAATTCTGCAAAAGGAGATAGGTCACTAGGGCAAAGGGAAGATTTTTTAAGCAGTCACCAATTAGAGGCAGCTTTGTAAAATGTATTAGACCATTATTCCAAGGCTTTCATCTTGGTCCAAGGAAAATACATGATTTCTAACCACAAAAACTTGAAAAACAAACTAAGAGGAACATGTTCATCTTGGCTGCACAATAGGGAGAACACTGAGATGGAGATCCATGTCCACATAGAATCACTTTACTATGTGCATCTGTGCACATGCATGTGTACACCATCTGTCTCCACACAGGGTGCTTTCTGGGCCAGCTCTGTGGTGGGCAGGCCAGACCTCATTTGGCTATAGAGAGGGCCAGGCCTGGCCAGATGGTCTCCACCTGCATTTGATTACCACCCACTAGGCTGACTGGACACAGCCTCTATACTCTGAAACACGAGTTTCAGGATAAACTCATAACCTGGGCCTGACAGAAAGTCTCTTTTTCAAAGCAGGCTGCTCAGGCAATAGTCAAGTGACAAGGTCATTCAGTATTTAAAGTCTCCTGGAGGGGCCTTGCTTGGTCTGCATTTCCTCACATGAGGGCTTCTCCTGCCAAAGTGGTTTTGTCTGACCAGTGAATGAATCCCCTCCAAGGGAGCAGCTGTCTCTCATGTCTTCTGAGAGAGGAAAGCATGAAAGGAAATTGGCATGTGCTGTAGAAGGTGGGATCTGGGTCAGTGCAAAGAATTTTTCCAACATAGAAGGCTGCTAAAATACTGGCTAGTATAAATGGGGGTCAATAAAAATTTCTTCCTGTAGGGATTTTTAAAGAAATGAGTAAAAGATTCTCCCCAGTCTGGTAGGGTCAGGGTGAGGGTTCTGTCTTATTGCAGAAGGATGAATGAGATGGGCCCTCAAGACTGTTTCAGCTCAAGAATCCCTAATCCACTCACTGGAGTATCCCAGGGAGAAGCTGGACAGCAGCTGGCAAGCCAACACAATGGCTGTATCAGCCTCATGGTAACATCAAACCTGCCAATTGAACACATGCCTGACCTACACGCACAGATGCCTGACCATCAGAGCTTACCCAAAGGCCTCTCCTAAATCATCTCAACTAAGGAGGTATCAATTAATCTAAGAGGTCAAAATGACTTCAGGCAGGAGGCAAACAGAAACCTAGGTAAGGGGCTGGGGATGTGGCTCAAGCGGTAGCACACTCGCCTGTCGTGCGTGCGGCCCGGGTTCGATCCTCAGCACCACATACCAACAAAGATGTTGTGTCCGCCGAGAACTAAAAAATAAATGTTAAAAATTCTCTCTCCCTCTCTCTCTCTCTCTCCCCCCCCCACTCTCTCTTTAAAAAAAAAAAGAAAGAAAAAGAAACCTAGGTAAGACTCTCTAGAGGAATTACATAGCTCAGGACACAGAAAGAGCCAATCTGAAAGCTAGCATCTAATGCTTGACATCACTAGTCATTAGGGAAATGCGAATCAAAACCTCAGTGAGCCATGCATGGTGGCATTACCCAGCTACACAGGAGGATCAGAACTTTAAGGCCAGCCTGGACACATTAGAAGACCCTGTCTTGAAATAAAATCAAAAGGGCTGGGGATGAAGCTCAGTGGTAGAGTGCTTGCCTAGTATGCTCTGGTTTCAATTCCCAATACTACAAAAATAAAATAAAACAACAACAACAAAAACACCATCTCAGTGAGATAACATTCCATAGCCTCCAGGAGGGCTAAAATAAGACAGACAATAACAAGTGTTGACAGGAATGAGGAGAAATCAGAACATTCTTGCACTGCTAATGGAGGATGTTAAATGGTGAAGTTGCTCTGGAAAACAGTTCGGCAGTTCCTGAAAGGGTTAAAACAGTTTACCATATGACACAGAGTTCCACTTTTAAGAAGATACCCAAAAGAACTGAAAACGTGCTCACATAAAAACCTGTGCACCAATGTTCATAGTAGCCTTACTCATAATAGCTAAAAAGTGGAAACAACCCATCAACTGCAGAATACACAAAATATGGAATATCTGTACAATGATACACATGAAACATTATTTGGCAATAAAAATGAATGGTGTATGGGTTGGGATTGTGGCTCAGCGGTAGAGCACTTGCCTAGCACGGGCAGGACCTGGGTTTGATTCTCAGCACCACAAAAAAATAAAGGCATTGTGCTGTGTCCATCTACAAAAAAAGATTCTCTCAAAAAAAAAAAAAAAAAAAGAATGGTGTATACATACTTACTACAACATACATAAACCCTGAAAATATTATGCTAAGTGAAAGAAGCCAGACACAAAAGATCACTTATGTGATTCCATTTACAGGAAGTGTCCACAATGAACAAATTTATAGAGATAAAAAGTAGATCAGTGGTTGCCAGGAGGGGCTGGGATGAAGAGGGAATGGAGAGTGATTTTGCTAAAGGGTACAGAATTTCTTTGGGGTATGATGGAAATGTTCTAAAATTTAACAATTTACAACCTTGTGAATATATTAAAAACAACTGAATCATATGTACACTTTAAGGAGGTGAATTTCAAGGTATTTAAAAAAAAAAACAAACAGTTCAGGTACACCTAAATGCTAGAGAAGGCAAGGCCAACCATGCCAAATGAACCAGGTCTTTACCTACCTCTATGTATTAATAACCACTACAATTTACTTAATACTGAAGTTTGAGGCCTTTGAATAAACCACTTTTCCTATGTTTTATCATTTATACAGCTCAGCCACTGTGATCCTCATTTAAGTAAGATGAGAAATATTGAGGGAAATATTTCAGTAATATTCCATAAGCCACAGAGCAAGATATTTAATCTCTGTGCCTCAGTTTCCTCATCTATAAAATAGGGATAATAACAATAACTACTTCACAAAGTTGTTTCAAGGATTACACGGTTAGGAAATTACACTGTAAACATTGTGGAACTTCAATTTTACTAGGTGAAAGGAAGCAAGTCACAAAACACCTGTATTGTATGATTCCATTGATATTACTATGATTTTTAATACGTAACTTATATTTGTTAAACATCCAAAATAGGCAAATTTATAGGAAAAAATAGAATGGTGCTTGTCCAGGGCTGAGAGACTGAGGGTGAATGGGGTGTGACTATTAATGGACACAGAGTTTCTTTTAAGAGTACTGAAAAGAATGTGTAGGAGAGTACTAGGGGTCAAATTTGGGGGAATTTACCATTGACCTACATTTACCATTGACGTAATCATAGGTTATGTGGTGAGCAGTGGATTCAGGATGAAGGGATGCAGAATAGCTAGAAGACGGTGAGGCCTCCTTGTAATTTCTCATCCACAGCAGAGTCCACCTTTCATGAATATG